AGAGTTAGACAAAGCCGCGGATGAGACAGGTCGCCCTTGCCCCGTGTGGTTGGATGGCTGAGGGACGGTGAAGCCTCAGGGCCCACGGTGGCTGTCTTCACATGTGGGGACAGCTGGGAGGAGCCTTCGGGTCCGGCTGAGGAACGGAGCATGACATACAAGAAAGAGAACAGACAGAATGATGAATGGAAACTCTCGAAGCAGCTCTCTGAAAGCAGGACAGACCATCTCCGTGGGGCAGTGAGGTCCCCGTCCCCAGGAGTGTGCAAGCTGAGAATAGCTTCCGGCCTCTGACAGGCTTCGGGAATCACTGACTTCCAAGATACTCTCTAGCTTTGCAGTCCTAAGCCTGTGTCCCTCCGCTCAGATGCCCGCGGGAACCAGCTCCCGGCCGGGCCGGCCACCGCCTCCTGAGCGGCTGTGCTCAGTCCGAGGCCCCTGAAGTCGTTCACTGATGTGCCAGGATCAGGTGTGAGAGGCGCCGAAAGAAATGTGTTTCTAATGATGGTTAAAACACCCGAGTTTTTGAATGAGCTCTTCACGGAAATTAGAAACTGAAGATGTTATCACGGGCATAACCACGTGCTTCCCTGAGCGAGAGGCAAAGAGGTGGCATGTCCACTGGGGCTGCAGGGCCTGGGGACACCCCCCGGGCCTGGCCACGGGGGCCATGTGTGAGGTCTGCAGGAGGACACCGCCCCCACGAAGGCTGCTCTGGAGGACACAGGCTCCTCCCGCAGGGCCGAGAGGAAGAACAGCCCTGCAGAGGCCTCAACTCCTCCCTCCGAACCTCACTGGGAACGGGCGGGTCGCTCACACCCCAGCAAACCTCAGGTCCCAAGTCCCGGACAGAGCACGCCACCGCAGGGGAAGGAAGTCTGTGGGCAAGGCCAAAGGCGTAGGCCCGTCTGCAGTCCACGCGTCCGTGCCAGCGAGCAGCTAGAGGGGCTCGTCCTGTCTGTGGAGCCAGCGGGGGTGCGTGTGTGTTTTGGGGTGTGGGGAGACCCGCCAGCCAGGTGGGCTGTTTTGGTTCTTGGTCACTTTGTCCCTTGGAGCCGCTCCCAAGCTCTAGGCCTGTCCAGAGCCTAGCTTGGCTTGCGAGCGGCAGGGAAGCTCTGGCCAGCACTCAGGGTTCCCATAGCACCCCCTTCCCTGGTTATGTGGACCTGGGGATATTTGTCCCTGAGTGCAGGGAAGGGGCCTGGGAACTCCAGAAGAGGGAAGGTAACCGAGTACTGGCCGAGACCCAGTCGGCGGTGGATGGTCCATTCGCCCAGGAGGGAGCAGGACTGCAGGGGAGGAGAGGAAGTGGGGGTCACTCTGCACCCCAAGCTGGCTTCACCCAGCTGGGGGTCCCTTGCCCTCCTTCTGCCTCCATGTCAGCTGCACCTGTGAACAGGGGAGCCCCCGCCTGCCGCGTCCCAGTGTCAGTAAAGGCTACGGAACCCCCGAGGGCGCAGTGCCACACAAACACGAGGCTTGCACGGCCCAGCAGGTGGGGGTTCCTGGGTGCCCCTCCCCGAGGCAGGTCAGGGGGACACTGGCAAGCTTGAGAAAAGAGACACTCCATGCAGACCACCGTCTTTCTTCACTCTTTACTGTGTAAAAATAAACTCAACAATTCATGTTGTTTCAGCAAGAAAATGAAAAAAAAAGCAATACCAGTAGAAATAGTGCATTTCCAGAATTGCTGATGGGAGGTGGCAGGTCCCATGGTTTTGACCCATTTGATACCCAAAAGGCTGCAGATCATATGAAAAATGTACAGCTTTGGTTAGCAAATAATGAAAAAGTAAGATACATCGATTTTTTCATATTATACAGTATATACATTATAACAATATCAACCAGAGGGGGTTTGCTTTGTTGGATTTTTTTTTTTTTTTGGCAAATAAGACAAAATTGGGACTCTAAGTATTGGGCTTTTTTTTTTTTTTTTCCTCCTCAATGACTTGTTCCCCTTCAACAAATTGCACTTAAGTCCACGGTGCATGGAAGTGACACATTTCCTGTCATTAGCTGAATAAATTTACACACTGTGTTTGAAGAGATGAAACCACGGCTGTGTCAAGCCACGTTCTGGTTGCCATGAAATTCTAAAGGATACTCTCTTCTTCGTGTTAACAACACGTAACCCTAGTTTTTCCTACCAGGATTGGAACTGATCAAGTCCTCGACTTAAGCCAGCTCCGAGGCAAAGGGTCTACCTTAAATGGCCAATTCGCATCCTGGTCCCCAACACCTCTGAGCGCAGGCGGCCACTCTTTGGAGCTCATTGGAATGACTGAACCTCAAGCCAGCCTCTCCCCCCTCTTCACTGCCCACAAGACACCCCCTTGGTCTCAGGTCCCAGGGCTGGTGACAAAGTGATCTTTGCACTCTTAGAAAATAAACGGGGAATCTACAAAAGGAAAAGAAAGCATACAAAATGTATCTCTTTCTTCCAAAATACATGCTTTCGGTCCTATGTTTTGGCGGAGCCTGAAAGTATTTTCCAGGGAGATATAAGGGGAGTTAATTTTATAGGTTTGTCCTTTTCTTTCATAAAAATACTCTTGTTTGGTAATAAACTTTTTCTTCTACAGTAAGAGAAATAATACTGTGTTATCAAAAGCAAGAAGGCTTACGATTCCAGTGGGATCTAAGCTCCGAGAGCCCGGAGAGCCTCTGTCGGCAGCTCCCCCACCTTGGACCCCCAGGGAGCTGTGGGACACCAGCTCGGCAAGAGCTAACACCGCCTCGGCAGTGCTGTGTGTCTTCTTAGTTTATAAAACGGCTTACCTGAGATAGGCATGTGTTATTCAGTGCAAGAGGGAGTGTCGATCAGATTGAGGAGGAGATGGGAGACTACGTGGATTAGATTTGTGGCTGTGTCATCGACCTTTCTTGGGGCCGGCAAAGTGCCAAATGTTAACACAGTGAGGGAGTCAAGGGGCTTGGCACAGGCTCCAGCTAGAGGCGGGGAGGGAGCCGAATGTCAGCTTCTGTCCCTGGCACCACGGGGGCGTCAAGAGAGGGCCAGGAAGGTGAACGGGCCGGAGGCCAAAGGGACAGTAGGCATAGCGTCTGGGGTGTGCTCTGCCCGTCTCTAGCTAGGGCAGAGGATGGCTTGTGGTCCTGACGGACACCTCCCACCCCGGCCACGAGGGCGGAGGGTGGTCTGGGGTCCGCGATTGGCAGGGGCTGGTGGGGGGTGCTGGCAGGGCAGCACCCAGCCCCCTCTGAGCCTGGCCTAAGCAGCAGCTGAGAGGGGGCCCAAGTGAGGGGTGGGGCCGACTTGGTCTAGAGGGGTGATTCCAAGCTCTCACTCTGTCCCAGTCATGGGCTTTGTTTAGGCTCCTTGTCAACCTACACGTGAAAAACACTTGTTGGTGTGTTTGGGGAGTGGGGAGGAGAGAGAGGGATACGGGTCCCTCCCATGACCTCCCCCGACACCCTTGGCTTGCTTCTCCAGCGATTTCTCAGTAGCTACGCAGATGGTCACAGGACGATGGGTGGCACTGGGCACACGACACGGAACCAGAAGTTCATGCAGGCAGGGGACGCACATCAGACCGAGGGAGCCAGGGACGTGCCACCCCGGGGAACATGCAAACAGAGAAGATCCCTGCAGATCCAAAGATGCCACAACCCGACGGGCTCGGACGAAGCACAAGGGTCTCAGAAAAAGCCACCGTTGAGCCACAGCACGCAGCGCGGCGCCCGGACCGCACCCGCTGAGAAGGAGCGCGCGCCACAGCTGGCGACCGGGTGCCACGCACACACCCACGCGGACACGAGCACGGAGACACCAACACAGACGCACACAGATGCACGAGGTTTCCGACGCAACAGGGACCTGCTCGTGAGGAGACAGGTGCCCCTGGAAGGAGCCGAGGACGGGGAACACCTGCTCCTCCCAAAGGAATGTTTGCAGTGGCACACGAGCCAGACCGTGCGGGAGAATTTCTAGAAAGACTTGCCAGCCTTCTGCTAATTAGACTCCCAGTGACAGAGTCTGGGGTGCCCTCAAGGCGTGCGACCCCCAGGTGGGACGACGGAGCAAGGAGCCCACCCGGGGCGCGGCCCGTCTTAGTGCTCTTCCTCTCTCTCTCTCTCTCTCTCAATGCACACGCGCGCGCACACACACACACAGAGACGCACACGCACGCGCGCACACACACGCATTTCCCCCTGCCTTAGAAGGACTAGAAGGAAACGCGTGTGGGTGCTTTCCATGGGGGAAAATAAGGTCCAAGGTTCTAGACACCGGTCATGTCTCAGTGTCACCGGCTGGTGACAGGCTGGGGGCTGCTGCAGGACCGGAGCCCTGTGAAGCAGGGGGAGTGGGCTTCAGGCCCCAGTGCTGGCCGCTGGGCCCTGTGTAGAAGACCTCCAGAGGGCCCGACCCCGTGGAGGACTCACGGCGCCCACGGACCTGGGCCTGGGAGCGGGGGAGGAATATGGCTGTCAAAATTAGCTTGGACCTTCTCATTGACGGGTCCGGTTCCAGTGTCATCGGCCCTAACTGGCTGGGTCTCAATCAGAATGTGGGTTTCCTTGTCTCAAAGGTCCCCTGTCGAGCTGACCCATGGACGCCTCTGGGCTCCCACTGCCAGAGGCCAAAGGAGAGGGGCCAGGGAAGGCTGGCTTCCACCACCTTCCCAGGGGCACGAGCAGACAGCCGAAAGGGAGGGATGGCTCCCTCGAGAGGGTGCGTGACTGTGGGCCGGAGACCCGGTCCTGGGCCAGAGCCAGAGAGCTGGGCATGCAAACCAGCTCCCCAGGCCCAGCGCTGCCCCAGACGCCACCCACAGGGGCGGTGCCTGGGCACTAGACGGGGTCCGCCCACCTCCTGAGGCCAGCCCCACCCCCCAACTCTCCACAGACTCTCCCTGCCTCACTGCCAGAGAGCACCAGCTGCCATCCCAGGCCCGGGTCGGAGAGAATCGGCTCCCACCAGGAAAGAGAAATTCTCTGTGGAGAGCCCCCCCCGCCTCGAACCAACCGCTATGAGACATTTATTTTCCCGGTAGAGACGTGGCTCTGGAAAAGGTTTGCCAAGACAGACGTGCATGTGGAGGAGGCCCCGAGGCCCGGGGGCAGCTCACAGGGTCCCAAGAGCTGATGCTCAGCCTGTCGTGAGCTTTCCCAACACCACAGAGGAAGGAGGAAAGGAGGCAGCTCCTTCTGGAGGAAAGCGCCTCCCCCCCGACACACACCTGCCACACACGCACATCCTCACCTACGTCTGCCTGGCCCCGTGCTGCAGCCGCCGGGGAGCGGGGTGGGCTGAGACCCTGGGGGGTGCCTCCCGGGCACGAGGGTGACCCGGGCTGTGTGCGTGCGCGTGCGTGGGCCTTGAGTCACTCCTGGGGAGAGGGAGACAAGAAGACGCGAGAGAGTCATCACCGCACAAGCAGGGGGGAGGCGGGTGGGCCGGCCCGAGGGCAGGAGGCTCCGCTGGGCAGGAGCCTCAGTTGATCTGGCGACAGGCTTCGAATGTCCACTTGGTGGCTCCCCCGTAGATCTCGATGTGGGACTCGGCCCAGGCGATGACGTTCCCAGAAAGGGCCTTGGGGCTGCAGGTGGCCAGGTTGTACACCTCCCCGGGGGTCAGCTTGCGGTCCCAGATGTTGAAGTGTGCCAGCTCGCCCACGAATGCTTGGGTGGCGTCAAACCCGCCGCCCAGGGTGTCCTTTGGAGAAAAGCAGAGGGTCAGTGTGGAGGGCTGCGAGGGTGGGGGTCCTCTCGAGGGGGCACGTGCCTGTGTCTCCCCCATCAGGGGCTCTCACGTTGACCTCGAGGTACCCTGTTATGTCCTATCTCTGGGAGCCCAGGAAAAGGGCCACTACTGGCCACCTCTGTCTGTCCTGGGTGCAGACCATCTCCCGGGGACACCTGGACTCTGCCTGACGTGCGGCCTGTCCCTCGACCAGTGAGAGGGTCCGCTCGCGCCATGTGCCACCATGGGAGCAGGGCCCTGGGAGAACCGCTGCTGCTCCCCCTGCCTGGACGAGCTCAGATGTCACCTCTGCCGAGCCCCACCGGAACAGAAGGCCTGGGGCCCTCCCACTGGTGCGTCCCTCCGAGTGCCCAAGGGGAGACAAACCGCTTCCAGGAAATAAATTATGCATCGCTAAAGGCAGACTGGCCTTTCCGTGCCAAAGAAAGTGTGGTGGCCCCCAGAGCATTGAGACAAGACCCACCCCGCTCGTACTGCCGGAGAAGCCCCCCCAAGGCAGGGACTTGGCCCAGACCACTGCGTACCTTGTTTCCCTTGGGTCTTTCTGGGAATGGGGGGAACCATGTCCCTCTCTGACCCACTCCCTCCTTCTCCCCCTTGTCCCTGTTCAGGCACCCTGGCTGTCCCTCCTCTGGTTCTGGGGCTCCCCCTGCAACCAGCATCCCCATCCGGCCCAGCCCCCAGGCCCCTACCTGCTCCTGGCCCAGCACCAGGACCCCCTGCGGCTTGATGGGGTGGTAGGGGGCCAGGTTCTCGCCATTGCCGCCCTGGGTGCCATCCTGGTAGGCTTCCCAGACCCCGTCCCGGGTGGTCCAGGTGATGCAGATATGGTGCCACTGGCCGTCATTGATCACGAAGGGCAGCTTGGCCACCTGGGAGGAAGGAGGACACACACGGTGTGACAAGTTCAGGGGCAAAGCACAGATCAATGATCATCACCATGTGCAGTGTCCACCGTGACTCTTCCTATCACCGTGTTTAAAATAAATAACCAAGAGCGACTCTGAATTCTCTTAGCACCTGCCCCGGCGACCTTATCGTCCGCCAGCCCCATCCACCGACGGGTAACGGAGTCACACGGGAAACAGGACGATTTGTCAAGGGGACCCTGGGATGGACCTGAATGCACAATGGCCTCCCCCTCCTCATCCTCCCCCTTCTCTGCTCGGTCTACCCAACCAGCCCTGGGAGGGGGAGTCCCACCGCCGGGGGCTCAGCTCACTGCTGCAGTCTGGGCCTCTCGGCTCTCCTCCACCACGAAATTGCCAGATCTGCCGGGTCTACACCCGCACAGCCTCTGCCGAGACTCAGACACCAGGAGCCACACACCAGGCCTCCGCCCTGGGACTCCCCTCTGTCTCTAGCATTGGGGCGGGGGGTGTCGGATGGTGCGGGAGACAAAAGGACCCGCACACCCTGTGATGTGGGGACGTGGGGCCCAGAAAGGAACCACCGTTTCTGGTCCAGGCCTCAACAGCGGGGCTTGGATTCCAGTTCCCGGCCAGGGCTGGAGATGGTCCCTGCCCGTGCTGCCCCAGAGACCCGGGACTTGGAAGACTCCCCGGAGGGAAAAGGCTGCGTTCTCCAAGGGCTCAGCCTCATGTGGCCTCCCCCCAGGCCTGAGGGGTTGAGCAGGATCAATCTGGGCTCTGGGAGAACCTCTGGGGTCCTCCACTTACACGGAGCTGGGGGAGGAGGAGCCAGGGTTCAATGGGAGGGACGGGGCACCTTCCCCCCACCCCCCCCACCCCGGGAGGCCTCTGTGGAGGGGGGGAAGTCCCAGCTTCGCGTTATTCATGGAGTGTGGGCAGGGGCGCCCCTCCTCCCCGTCTCCCCTCCACCTCCCCCAGTCCTGCTTGACTGGCCCTTCTGGTGCCCCCCCCCACAAGCATCTGTGGCTGCAGAGCAGGCCCAGCAGCCGGGCTGGGGGCGGGGGCCTGGGGGACCTCACTCTGCTGTCCTGTGAGACCAGGCGGCTGGGGGCGGGGGGCCCTACCTTGTCATTGATGAGGATCTCCATGGGATTGTTGCCCCACTCGATGAGGACCAGCTCGTTAGCCTGGCCCGGCACGGCGTAGGAGAAGGGCGTGCCCACCCCGGGGGCCGCGCTGGACTTGAGCCACATGCACACGGTGAAGGCGTACATCTCCGGCAGGCTCTTCTTCACCTTGGCGTACATGTAGTTGGTCCGCAGCGGGAATGTGAGCTGGAACTTGTCCCCGGGGCGGCTGTCCTTCTGACCTGGAGAGAACAGGACACAGTCCTGTCATCTGCACCTCAAAGCCTTTGTTCCCGTTGGAAACCCATTCAGCACTCCTGCCATCCCCCGCCCCCTCCAGCTCTGGGAAGCCAGGAGCAGACTCATCTCCATTCTCTAGCCGCTGAGAGGGAGGCCCAGCAGGGTCAAGTGCTTTGCCCTGCCCGAGGGCACAGGGCCAGAACAAAAAAGCTGACCCAAGATCTCCTGCTCTCCGATCAGGCTCCCACATGCTGCCCCTGGGGAGGCTGGGATGGGGGTAGGGAGACCATGTGGGCTTGGGCAGGGAATGAGTGCCTGCACAATGGTGGGGGGGGGATGTTATTGGACCTTGGTGGTGTGGCCACAGAGGGAGGAGGTCTCCTCCAGCCTGAAAGAGGGGGCTGCCCCCAGCACAGCCCCTTCAGCAGACCTGGTTCCTGGATATGGTTCACAAAGTCTCCTCATGGATTCCCACCCGAGACAAGCGAGCGCCTGGTGCCCAGCTCACTCCCCTCGACGCCAGGGTGTGCTGCAGGCCCTGCTGGCTCTTCTGAACCAGTCAGTGAGCCCTGAGGACTCTGGCTCTTTCTAGAACCCTATCTTCCCTACAGGAGGGAAAGACGGCTTCCTGAGGCTCATCCAGCAGCTCTGCTTGGAGCCCTGCCGAGAGGGCAGGGCAGCAGGGAGCAAGGAGTCGGCCCTGAAGCCAGGGCCCCCCAAGGTGACTGCTTTGAGGATGGGGCCACTCATTCTCAGGGAAAGCTTCCTCTGCGTTTCCTGAAAAATCAGGCTCCTGGCCTAAAAGCCTCCCTTTACCCAACAGCACCAGCTCCCTGCCTGCCAGGGATGTCTCAGGGAATGCTTGTCTGCCCCCTCCCAGCCCACACACGCACTGTAGCTGTGGCCCCGGGTGTGGTGTGACTGACTCCAGGCAAAACATTCCAACCCAGCAGTGGGCACAGGCACCGGGCCCAGAGCCAGGAAGACACACACCTGCCAGCTCCTGGGTGTGCTGGGGGCTTGCCAGGGAGTCCAGAAGGAAACAGGCCCCCCAGGCCAAGAATTATTTCTAGAAGGCGTCCTGCTGGGCCAGCAACCCCCCCAATCCATTCAGGTATCAGGGAACGGCAGGGCTGGTCCCCTCAGTGCCCCCGCACCATCTCCAGCTTGTATTCCTGCCCCCCCAAACAACCCTTGGAGCAGATCCAGCCCCTGGCCTCTCTAGGGGCTGTTTTTCATTCCCCCCAATCTCCCCTCCTTCCCTCCCCCCTCCCTCCCCCGTCCCTTCCCCTGATCTGTTTTTCAGTTACATAACGTGCCTTAAGATGGCACTGTTTAAATCCATCCAGCACATTTTGCGGTCCAAGAGGGGTCACGTGGCCCTGCTCCAAGCCCAGGAACACCCCCCCCTTTTACAACCTTGTTTGATTTCTGCGACTTCAAGCCTGAGCCCAGCTCATCTGTGAGCCCCAGAGTGCAGGTGGGGCTGGCCACAGTTGGTGACCCAGGAACCACAGGACATGCAGGATGCTAGCACTCGAGTCATTCAGAAAATAAGACCACCGGGAGGGGCTCAACTAAAGGGGGGAACCCGGAGATCCCCAGAGGACAACAGTGGTGCCCTGGAGCTGGGAGGAAACAGACCATCCCCAGCCCACACCCCATTCCCTGCTGGGGTTGGGAACCGGCTAGAGTCAGTCTTTCTTACCAGGGAGCACCACAGCCACAGCGCAAACTTACTGAAGATCCGACTTGGAAAAATCCTTCCTGTGTGTGTGTGTGTTGGGGGGTGCCGACCACAACAATCGATGCCTTCCTCACTCCGCCTCCCCTCCCTCCATTTGTCCCCAGCCCAGGGGGCCCCCGGCCCCATCAGGAACACCGGCTGGAAACCCCAGACCCAGGGCAGGGACTCAGGAAGCCGGAAGGGCTGGAGGGGTGGAGAAGCTTCAGGCTTTGACAGCCTGGAACCGAGCCCTGCAGGAAGCCCCGACCTGAGGCAGGGTCCCACCAGCCGGGCAGCCAGCAGCCCCCACCCACACTCCTCCCGGCCAGTTACCTTTCTCCAGCTCGCTGATCCGCTGGTGCAGGGAGGTCAGGGCGCTCTCGATCTTGACCCTCTCCTCCGTGTCGTTCCTGGGGCCGCCCTTGCCCTCCTCCAGAGTGTTCACCCGAGACAGCACCTGCCTCTCCAGGTCATCGATCTTGCTCTGCAGCAGGTCCTTGAGGCTGTTGGTCTGGCTGGAGGAATTGAGCCGGCTGTACTGCTGCGGGGGTGCAAGGGCGGAGGGAGACCACACAGTTACGCGCGCGGCGCGGGGACCGAGCCGGGAGGCCGGCGGCGCGGTCCCCTCGGGGCGAATGCGGGGGCGGTCTGGCGGGGAGCTCGGGCGAGTGGCCGTCTGCGGGGCCCCTCGGGCTCCTGGCGGGCCCCGGCCGGGCACCAGCGCCCGGCCGAGGGGGGAGTGGGGGTGTCGGGCAGGGTCGGGAGTGGGGGTGGGGCAGGGCAGAGGGGCGCCGGAGGGGGAACCGCGGCGCGCGCGCGGACCTCGAGGTTCTCCAGGCGGGTTTTGAGCGACTGCAAAGTTTGCCCGAGTTGGCTGAGCGTCTCCGCGGCCGGCGTCCGGGACAGGTCGCCCATGGTGTTCTTGCCCGAGCCGGGCTGCTTGCGGCCACCGCCGGCCCGGGCCTCGCCGGCGCCCGCGTCCAGCGTGCTCTGGCTCTCGCAGCGGCCCAGCTTGGTGGTCAGCTCGCGAATGGTCTCCTTCTGGCTCAGGATGGTCTCCTTCTGCTGCAGCACGGTCTCGCGGAGCTGCAGCACGTTACTCCGGAGCTCCTCGGCGCCGCCGGCGGCCACGGACGCGGCGCACATGTCGGCGTCCACCGGCACCGAGGTGCAGATGAAGCGCGTCGGCCCGAAATCCTGGGCCGCGCTGCCCAGCAGGCAAAGGGCGAGCAGCGCACAGGTGCGCGCGGCGCGGCCGGCCGGCATGGCTTCGGGCGCTGGGGCCGGCGCTCCGGCTCGGCTCCTGGGGCTCGGCTCGGCGGGGCTCGGCGGGGCTCGGCGGGCGGCCCGCGCTCTGGGCGCCGCGCTGCTCGGCCGCGCAGTCCGCACCGCCGCGCTGCCCGGCCCTCACTGCCGCCCGCGCTGCGGAGCCCGCGCCTTTTATGCCGCCGCGGGAGGGGCCTCGGCGCTGCCGACGTCAGCGGGGGAGGAATCCCGCTTTAATTGTCTGCGGCCCGGCCCGCGGCGCCGGGCGGGGGTCGTTCGCGCGCGCTGGGGGGGTCGCCTCCTGCGGTCTCCCCCCACCCACGCACCCCCCCGCGCCGCAGAGCCCGCACCGCTTCCCCGAAGGCTCCGAGAGCCCCGAGCGGGGTCGGGGCGGGGGGAGGACTGGGACTACAGGATGGGCCACCTGCATGATGTCCCCAAGTCTCCGACGGGGTTGTGGGCGAGCGGGAGGCCGCGGCTGGCCCGCGAGACAAAATTCGGTTCAACCCGCTTGGCCCCACAGAACACCCTCGGGGGCCGGGCCGGGGGCGTTCAAGGCGGGACCGGGTCCCCAAGGGCTCAAAGCGTCTACACTCGCGCGTCGGGTGAGGAGCGCTGGGGAGCCGAGCCTTGCGCCGCCGCCGAGTCCAGAGAGGGGGTCGCGGCGCTGCCGCACGGTTCTTGGATGCGCATGTGGGGTTGGAAAGCCGGTCTACACCTGGGATCGGGGGACTTCTCCACGACCTCGTTCGGGGCTCTCCTGCCCCCTCCCACAGGCCCGGGGCTTTGGGGACCCGGCTACGTCCCGGGGGGGATGGCAGCACCGCCCCCCTCCCGGAACCCGCGGGGCGCGCGGGCACTTCTTGGATCGAGCCTTTCCGCCCGCGGAGCCGGCCGATTCCGGGCAGGCGGCTCCCTGCGGCCCCCGGGGAGGCGCTGAGCGGCCGCGCTTCCTGGGGGCCCGGCGGCCCGACCCTTCCGCGCTCCCGGAGCGCCTTCCTGTCGCGGGGGCGCGCGTGCACGTCCGTGTCCGTGTGCGCGTCGTGCTCTCTGGGCCCCGCAAGCCCCAGCTCGGCCCACTGCTCCGCCCAGGGCAGTTGGGGACGGGTTCCGGCCCACGGCCGGATCGTCGCCCGTGTGGAGCCGCCCCACGGTGGACCTTCCACCCGGAGTCACCCCCCGGCCGCTCCCGCCCCCCTCCCCGCACCTGTTTTCTGAGTAGTAGCGGCGCCAGGCGAGGCTCCCAGATTCCGTCCGGGTTGGGACGCCCGGTTCGGGGCTCTGGACAGGCCCAAGCCGCTGGCGCGCCCCGGGCCATCAGAGTTCCGAGCTCCCAGTGCGTGCAGGAGGAGACGGCGCCAGGATCCCGAGGTCGGGCTCCGGGTGACGTTGCGAGCCCGGCCTAGAGCCGCGGTCCCGCAGCCCCGCTGACGGCCCAGACCCTCCCCCCAAGTCAGGCCCTGCGCTGGCGGGGGTCCCCAGCCCCAGGGACCCTCAGGCAGTTGCAGGGTGCGGGGGCTGCGCCGCCGCCCCGCGGGTGCGAAGCGCAGCCGGCTTCATTGAGACCTTTTGGAGAAACCCCGGTCTCCTCCGTGCCACTCGGTGGTCGCGTCCCACCCGTGCCCCCGGGTGCCCCACCGCCCACGTTCTGTGGGCGCTTTGGTCCTGAACCTTCCCGGAGCCCGCGTGTCCTTCGGCCTCCGCTTGCCGGCGCCAGAGGGACCCCGCGGGCCGCACGCGCCAGTCCTGGGCTCCGAGCCCCGCGGCCCCGGGGGCTGTGCGCGTTATGCGCCTCGGTGCCCGGGGCTCGCGGGAGGGGACTGGCCACCAGCGTCCCTGAGGGTTTGCGCCCGGATCTCCCCAGGCTGGAAGGCGACTCTGGAGGACCTCTCCGCGCTGGGCCCCGGGGGCGAGACTGTCCGGGCCGAGAGGCAGGGCGCGCGGGAGTGGGAGAAGAGCCCGCGGGGCGACAGGCAGGCTGCGCGGCCGGAACGGGATCCTTCGGCGCAGCCTGGCGTCCTGAGCCGCGCCCACGACGGGGACCCGGGCTTTCACCACCGGGAGGGGACCCGGGCACGTGGCACTGAGGGCTGCCCCGCAGGGGAAGGAGTAGCAGGCCTCCGAGCTGGAGGAGGGCCCCTGGGGCAGTGTCTGCGGCCGTGGCAGCGAGGTGTGGAGCTCCGAGGGGAGGCGGTCAGGGGCCCGACCCTTCCGCCGTCGCCCCCTGAAGCGCTGTGTCGGCCAGAAGGCGCTATGGGGGACCCCTGCGCGCCCGCGGGGCCGCTGTGACCGGGAGGTGGAGGGCTCTGCTGCCGCATCCCTCTGCCTTCTTTCAATCCACTTCCCCGGCCCAGGATCCTGGGCAGGGGACGCTTCAGGCCTGGTCGAGTCTGCGGCTTCCTCCTCCGCCCCAGGGCTCGGAGGTATCTAAGAGCGCTGGGGCTAAGCGAACACAAACCCTCAGAGAAGGAGCCCAGGCTGCCCAGCCCGCGGGTGGGAAGGTCCGGGATGCCGGGCTCCTTCCCTCCTGGCCTGGGTGTCAGAGCCCAGAGGTGCAGACAGCAGATAGTCCCCCACGATTGCGGGGGGCTCCCACTGTAAATATGCAGTAGGTGCAAAATACCTCACAGGCATAGGTAGTAGTAACACATAATAAAAATAATTAGAAATTGGTGAGTTCTGAACATTACCTTTATCCTTAATATAGTTTATTTAATTATAAGTTTGTGTCATTTAAATTTTAATGCTGTGTTTAACAGTCCGCTGGCAAACTCCTGAACACACAGTGACCAGCTGGTGCCGGCCGGCTTCCCGGGCTCCTGGTGGAAGTGGGTGGTCTTCCGAGGTCAGGCAGGGCAAAAGAGGCTGGTGGGAAGCGGGCCTAAGTCGGAGCCTGGTTCTGTGCTCAGGACCCTGAACCACCTGTGGAGTCTCCTGTGTCTGTCCTCTCCCCAGACCAAGGCCATGAACTGGTCTAGAATCTTCACCTGAACGTGAAGAACTCCGCTAGGGGTAGGCAAGAGTGGGCCTCTGGGTGGGTGCTGAGGGGGTCGTCAGAAGATGCAGGACAGCACTGGACAGGGGCATGTGGCCCACCCACCCCTTGACTCTGAGCCAGCAGTCTGCCCTGCCTTTTTAAATAGCCACCCCTGAAGCAGGCGGGTTGGGGAGCAGAGGGGTGGGGTCGGAATGGGGTCAGCTGCGGGACTCCCGACTCGACTCGGAAGAGAGGAAGGCAGCTCTGGAACACACGTGGGCTCTGTGGGCTCTGTGGGCTCCGAGCTGCTCCGGGGGACACGCCACGGGCCCCTGTGGGCTGAGCTGGCATCTCAGCTTGGATGGGGGGACACTTTGCAGCAACACAGGGCTGGCATTTCAGACACTTCCTGCAACGCTCCCAAGTTGTGTTTTGGTTTCGGTTCTGTGTTTTCCACAGCCCCTGCGACGCTGTCCCCTGTTTCTTGGTCTGGAAGGTGTTTTGTGGAGGACCTCGCTTTGTGACAAGGCACTGGGCTGTCCAGATGGGATGCGTACACTTTTCTGTTTGTGGCTCCACACCCCACATGAGGTATAGGGGTGCGTGGCTCCCACAGGTTGTCCCCAGAGTGGAGGAGATGGGCTTCTGGCTGCCACCAGGTGAGAATCAGCATGGACTCTCAGAGCAGAGCCAGGCCATGGGACCCCTCCTTGCCCCCTGAGATGACGCTCAGGGGCTCAGGGGGCGGGCATGGGGCAGCTCTGACAGCAGCAAGCCCCGGGGGGCCTCCGTGGAGTGATTCTGCTGACAGACCCTGCCTACACACTCTGGCCAGGGGACAGGCCCCTGCTGCCCAGCTCTTCTGGGGGAGGGGCCCTACCCAAGTGGTCCCTTCTGCCCTCTCCTTGGGCACCTGTGTGATAATAACCCTGCCTTAAAACAAGAAACTGTCCCTTTGCAAAGCCCTCTGTCCACATTCATTCATTTGCCCATAAGGCATGGCCGGGCGACTGTCCTCAGTCAACTCACGAGGAAACCGAGGGAGGGCCAGAGAAGCCCAAGACCACACACGTGTCCAGTGGAGGGACAGTTGAGGGGCAAGCTATGGCCTTGGCGTGCCCAGCCTTGCTCTCTCTGCACAGAGAGTGGGAGCCCTGGCCGGCAAGGGCAGGAGCTCTCTGATCTGTGACAATGGGTGGCAGAGAAGCCGTGAGAGGAGGGATGGAGGCCCAGCTGCTCACACCCAGTGGCAGAGGCATGTCGGGCCAGGTCCACAGAATCCGGGCTGGGGGGCTTCTCACCTGCCGCCCCTGAGGGAGACGCGGCCCCCTGCTTCTCCACAGAATTTACAAGTCCACGTCCACTGGGAAGACCCTACTAAACCCACAGTGGTCATGGCAGGGCCTTCCTAGTCACGCTCATGGTCAACAGTTGTTAGCTGGGCCAGCGAGGCCCCTGCAGGCCCCCAGACTCCCTGTTTCCAGCCGGGGCTTTCCCTGCAGCTAGTCCTTCTCTCCTCCGGGCTGGCCCAGGCTCCCATGGGACAAAGCTCGGGGTGGTCTCTTTCCTGCCCTGCCCTCCCCAGGAATCCAACACTGGGGCTGGGGTGGCGACCCCAATAAACGTGAGTTTTATGGGCTCGAACACGAGCCCTTCTCGGGAAGGCTCGTCTCACTTTTCTCCGAGCGGGAGTTTCTGGGTGCCAGGCGGAATCGTGAGCATGTGGTACAGTGTAAATATTCATCAAGTTTACTCTCAGTTCAGCAAATATTTCCAGAGCTTCGACGGGGGGCAGGCCGGCTGCCGGGGCTGGAGAGAACTGAGGCGGTGTTCTCTGTCCCAGAGAGCACTCCGTCTGTCCCCAGGGCGGCTCGGGTGGAAGTGTACATTCAGGGTAGCAGGTGAGGGCCATGGGGACCAGAGACACCCCAAGCCAAGGCAGAGGGGTGCACTGGGTCTCAGTAGTCAGGAGGGCCTCCTGGGGAGGTGACACTGGAGAGGGTTGAGGGCTAGCATGGCCCATGCTGGGAGCGATGGGGGCATGCCCTGGAGGGAGGAGATGTGGGCAGCAAGGGTGGGGGG